TTTATAGCAGCACAATTTGTGATAGCCAAATCTTGGAAACAACCAAGATGTCCATCACCTGAGGAATGGTTGAGAAAGATGTGGTGTTTTTACACAATGTAGTATTAGTCAGCTATTAAGAATGATAAACTCAAAGCCTTTATATTGAAGTGGATGCCAGTTGAACATATGCTCATAAGTGAAATAAACCAGACATGTGTAAATATCATATCATCTCCCTAGCATAAGAACTCAAAAGAAGAAATACAAATAGAAAGATACAATACAAGGAAAAGGAAAGCAGGATATCAAGGACTAACTAATCAAGAGAGGGAAAGGAGAAGAGCTAGGAAAGATGACAATGTCAAGCCATACAAGTATATATAGAAGATGGTCAAGGCAATGATCCTGAGAATCTCCAGAAGATTTTTTAATCTAGCAGTTAAGTGGAAAGATTCTCATCCTGACTATATATGCTGATACTTGTGAACTAAGCTACTGCACTGAAAATGGCAATTTGTAATACTAGTTTCATGCTTGGAGTGTCTGTCATTCTGGTATTCTGATTATGGGCTGATTGTCATGACATGCCAGTTTCTGCTATGATGTCTCTCGGGTAGATGGTTGTTCAAAAAGAAGGGGGTGGTGAATGAAAACAAGAGACAGGAAAAGGAATATTGTGGGACTGTCCTGCTTCAAGATTGTATATGGTGAGATTTTTGGACTTATGTGTAAACATAAGAAGTATATAATTCTTTATGCCTATTTTTAAAATATATTCTTATTTTTAAATGTTTTTTTTATCATATTCCGTAGGGACTTAAAGTTCAACACATCAATACTTGAGGAAAAATACCTGTTCCATATTATGCCTACGATGTTTCATATTCAGACAGATAGTGAGGTTAAGCTTAACAGCCTAGGTTGTATGGTAATAACAATAAGCTTGTCTTCTGGATGGTTAACAACCTAAGTTTGCAGACCAAAATTAGAGAAAAAGGAGGGCTGCAAGGAAAGACAACATTGTGGCCCTAGCCTTCTAAGGTCAAGTAAGACTCAGGACATATGAGAACTTGTACTGTAACGTCATGTAACTTGGTATTGTCCCAAATTTTCTGATCAAGGAAATTATGGGGCCAAAGAGGAAAGTGATCAATGATGTAGAGTGTGCCTAAGGAGAGTCACATGGAGAGAAAACATTCTCTCAGGCTTTCACAGAGAGCACATTGGCCAAGCAATGGCCGTGACTCATCCACATGGCTGACACTGACCAAGGTTCTACAATCTGAGGTACAGGATCCTAGGATAAATCCTGAGGGGATTTCACTGACCTTATCAGACCCAAAAGCTACAACTCTTTTTGCATAGGTCCTGCTTCACCTTGGTCTTAACCATCCAGCAGAAAAGTATAAAAACGAAATATAAGAAGTAAAGCCATGCTGTTATGCTGAGCTGTAGGGGACTCAGGTCAACAATTTCTGACATTGTGAGTCAAGCGGAAGACCCAATACTATTATGGGCTACTGGACTCTTTTAGAATATTTTGCTGAGTTTACACACCTATAATATTCAAATAACGGAACTTACCAAAAAAAGAGCATACAGATGAATGTCCATTTTGTATCTGTGTATTCAAAGTGGTTAGGATAAATAGTTACATTCTCTTAATGAATAGAGGGATTTGTTCTAATGGTGTTTGTAAATAGGATATCATGTCTGCATCTTGTACAGCAATTAACCACTAGGAAGAATGTATGCAATGTGTTAATTATTGAAACTGTCCTACCAATTTGATTTGAAAGTGTCTCATTGCTATTTGTTTATCAATAAAATTATGAAAAAAAGAGGCAAATCAATTTTTGGGGAAATAGTAACATGGAATTTACATACATGAAATAGTAAAAAAAGACTTCTAAATATATTATGAAAGTTTTTAAAAGATAGTAAAAAAAAGAGACAGTTTCTATTTATTGCCACTGATAGTATAAATTCCTTAAGAATTTATATTAAATAAATTATCAAGAAGACACATGATTTTGACCCAAGTATTTTCTCCACAAAGAATGAAAAATGCTTACATATTATCTTAAGGTTTGATAGATAAATAATTTTTCATATACACCTTGGAATATCTTATAAAAGCATACATATTGACAAGATTGAGAAGAGAATATACATGATCCTTCTGTAAGTCAGAAAAGGTTCTAAAATAATATTTCAGCTGGTAGTGAGCTGGTTTTGTGCACATATATATAAATCTGCCTATAAAAAGGTAGAGAAAAATATTTGAGCAGTGTTATTTCCTTGAATGGAAGCACTCATAGGTAATTTAAAACTTCTATTTTACTTGTAATTAAATCTTCTAAAAGCACACATATTACACACATAATTTAAGTTTTCAAAAGGACCAGCACTGCACATGGTTATAGTTTTTAAAATACATGCTTCTGAGGTTATTGAGAGGATTTCAGTACTGATGACTGCAAAATGAGCCACAATACTAGCAAGGTAATGGGGACACCATTTGCATTTAAATTTTGAAACCAAAATGTTAAGAGAAATCACATGTAGACCCATTATGGCTTGTATTCATATGTCCCCCAAAGCCTCATATGGTCATAGGTGGTGAGTTCTGAAGGTGCTGGATTAGGGTATGTGAATATGAAATAAGTATGTAATACTTGGATCAAAGATGTGAAAATGGAAAACCCCAACCTGGGGCACCAATCACTGGGCTTATAGTCTGGACCAGATTTAAGGAGAAAGAAAGAAGGTAGGTTTGCAGGTGCTGTGTGCTGCTTTCCTGCCTTCTGCCTGCCACTCCATGAACTGTTTCTCCTCTGCCAGGGACCTCTGCCATGATGCTTTACCTTGGAGCCAGCTGGTTATAGACTGAAGCCTCTACAAACTGTGACCTAAATAAACCTTTCCCTCTCTTAAGGAGTGGCTGTCAGGTATTTTGTCCCAGCAACAAAAAAATATTTAGGACAACCCCTATGACCTACTGCATGTTGAATATATTTCAATCTGGCTGTAAGAACTTTGCTTATAAATGAAAATACATCAGTAATATATAATTAAATACAATTAGGTAAGAAACAGTTTTTCAGAATCTGGCCTTTTTATTTAGGACTTGGATTTTTATCATACTAGATTGGCATAGGATTAGGTTGAAGAGCTTAGGGGAAAGTAGAAAAGAACAATAATGTTCATGTAAAATAAAGTTGGAATACTGGAAGCAGTAACATTTGCATAATGTAACAGATGCTGAATCTTAGAACAATACTTTCATGTGATCACATTTCCTTGTTAAATCTCACTTACGGGATGGACGAACAACAATGTTATTAGAAATTGCAGCTCCGCGCTCGTTCCTTGCCGTACACTGATAGATGCCTTCATAGGTCTCTGCTTTCCCTTCACTCATAATGTTGATTATGAGTGTTCCTGAGCCAGGCTTCATGGTGACCAGAGGATCTTTATCTATGTCAAAATGAGTCCCATTGCGGGTCCAGGAAAAGCTGCTCAAATCATCAAGTGAAGTTTGTTAATGGTTCAGGAAGGCAGGATGACTATTCTTTAACAAGTTCCTAACAGTTTTATGCTTTTCTAGAACTTACTATTAGATTTTTAATATTCAGTGAAAGAGTAGTAGGTACCCACCTAACATGTCCTGAATTATGACTCAGAAAAAAAGTGCTGGGCATATACATTTTGAGGTATATGTCCTTTTTGCAACCAGCCCAAACACAACACAAATTGCCTGTGATTTTTTCAAAGAAAATATAGGGTACAGGTCTTCAAGGCATACTCCCTTTGAGCTTCATTAGCATCTTTGTTATAAACTCCATTGTTACTAGAGTTGATATCATGCATATGAAAATCTGCTCTGGGCTAAAATGTGATAAGAAAGCCTTCTACAAATACTAAATTAAGTAGAGGAAGAGGAATACAGACATAAGTTCAGAAGTGTTTTAAATCTTAAGCTATTAAAAATGGTAATTCTGTATAAGCTAATTTTTGAGAATTTTCAATTCTAGAGATGATTTTGTGAATTTGAAGGTATGCCAAACTGTCAACTGAGATTGCTCTGTCTCAGTTTTATTTACATAAAAGGTAGCTTTATATAAAAGTTACAATCCGCAGATAATTAAATACTTCTTAACCAGTCAGTTAGTGATGGCCAGAATCATACATAGGTAAAAATCTCTAAAGTTTATAGTATTTTCAGAGCTCACTTAGATTTTTCTTCTCATTGCTTATCCTCATAAGTGACAGTGGGCACTACCAGGCAACAGGTGGTGGTGGTGGACAGTACTGGCGTTTAGTGGGTTCATGGGTAGAGGCCATAGATGATGTTAATCATCCGTCCATGAATAGGAAGCTCCAGAGAGTTATAGGAGGCCTTAAGCACTGATAGGTGTGAAGCTTAAGGGGACTCCACCAAAGAATGTCATAGGACAGGTTGTGTGACAGAGCATTTCCAATAATATGGCAGAATATTATTTTGAGGCAAACATTTGATCAGAGTTTTGATATACATAGGTATTTAGTACTAGTTAATTTTTTTCAGCTATTTTGTGATAGTTTAATAAAACCTGTAATAGAAAAACTTGGAAATAAAATATCTTAAAAACCTTTTCATTTATTTCTGATAAATGACTACATTTAATTATTTTAACTTGCTATTATATTTAACTATAATAATTAATATTTTTAAAAATAATCCAATTCTCTAAAACTCACAGGGACAAGTTCTAGGTCAGGCAGCGTGGGACTCTGGATGAACTATGCAGCATTTTGCAGCACCACTTTTCCATCTACACAATGTATAGTCTGGAGAGGTGTTTGTGCTAATATCCATATGGAGAATCCTGAGTACTGAACCATGATTAAGTTTGGAAAACTGCTTAGGACTATTTTAGAGGCCACTGTGGAGGTAGGAGAGATCTTGAAAGTTATCAAATTCAACTTCTTTTTCATTGCAATAGATGAAGAAACTAAAGCACAGAGAAAAGGGCTTTGCCCACAGCAGAAGGCCATTAGTATCAGAACCACGATTATAGTTCACACCCATTCCCCCAACTGATGAACATAAAAACATAAACATGGGAACGAATGCAGTGTTCTTTAATAGAACAAATTGACTCTAAACTGAGAAACAAAACAATAAATCTACAACTGATACTTTAGAGATATGCAGAATTTAAGAAGTTACCACTAGATTCTTTGAAGAGCTGAAATGGATCTTGAGAGTTGGTCAGACAAACCAGAATAAACTAGTAATCACACTGAAAAACATTCAACTATAAATGAACATACTCTACACTGCCTACCTTGTTCTATAGACTTTGCAAACAATTTCTATAGTCCAAGAAACCCTCAGACTTACTTCAAGAGCCATAAAACAAACTCACCTCGGAGGAGGTTTCCCTTTGGCCTCACACTGGATTACAATGTTCTCCCGAGGGTCAATGATGTAATCTTTTGGAGACTGCTGAGTGATGGTTGGAGGTTGTACCACTTAATTATAGAAGAAAGAATAATGTAAATAAATAAATCATTTAATATCATAATAGCAACCAATTTTCCTATAGCAAGATCACTTGCCTTAGATTAAATATGTACTAAATATTTCTATAACTTCTATTGTAGCAGCACCTACCTCAGTAGATTTTCAACTAAAAGTCTAACTGCAAAGTCAAAGCATAACCTCTCTTTTGGTAACTTTATGTGCAATAAAAAAGCCCATTTTCCCACCCTAAAAGTCTGAGAAAGTAATTATCAAAACAAGCCTAACATTAAGACAATTATGTTCTGATGTAACAATGAGAAATTCTTTTGATTCCTTTGGTTCAAACAATGCTTTTGAATAAAATTAATTAATTAATTTATTTATTTTTTGCAACCCCCCCCCATGCCTTCAGGGCAGGTCTGGTTCAGCTTGAGGATGAGGGAAGTCATTGTTCTTTAACAACATACCCTAGGGAGCCATTCCTTTTTTTTTCCCCCCCCCCCCGCAGAACGGGGGATTGAACTCAGGCCCTTGCTCTTGCACTGGCCAGGCAAGCACTTATTCTACTGAGCCAGCTCTCTGACCCCTGAATGAAATTTAAATTGTGAGGCATATTTGGCTATTGTTTAGGAAAAAGTTGCTGACTTATAGCTTATTAGTATGCTACTGCAAATTAATATATGTTGGAAACACATGCATTTGAGAAATTAATATAAAGATTGTTAAATTGGAGACATACCACTAATGTCACTTATTAAAAGTAGGATAGAGGTGTGTTAGGAAGAAAGAATAGTAGTCTTATTTGGACAATTAATGTAATCAAACTTCTGTGTTTGAGGAGACAATTTTTCCATTTCACTTTTCAGAGTGTTTACCTGATCTTTTATTAGGAAATTGCAGGGGAAACTGTTTTGACCCAGACCGAATGAAACTTAGACAGTATCTGGATCTTCAAGTTTCTCTAAGATCACCATGTCCTACCTCTTATGAGATCAGAATAACAACATGTTAGAACAGGAAGGGGCTGGAAAAGAATCTAATTTAACCTCTGTTTTTGTTTCTCAGAGTATCAAATGGTTTGGTTTGGAAGGCACAAAGCAGAGAAGCCATCAGACTCTCTTGATGAGCTCCTGTTGGAAGGCCACTACCTTGTACAACTCCGCAGAGAGCTGCTTACACAGACCAGTGGTTCTCAATAGGGGGCAATATGCCCCCATCTTTCCAGGGACATTTGGGCATAGGTAGAAACAATTCAGACTCCCATAGCTAGGGTCGTGGTGGTCCTGGGAGCTAGTAGAGAGAAGCCTAGGAAGTTTCTCAGTTATAGTGTACAGAAGAGTCCTCCACTACAGAGACTTCTCTGGCCACCAGAGGTGAATAGTGCTGAGGCTGAGAGAGTGGGCACAGGCCACAGTGCAAATGGTACCTGGGCCCATGCAATGAAGCGGCCTCAGCCTCCCCTGACTCTTGAAACCTTTCCCAGGTCCTTCCTTTTGATTCATGCTTTCCTTTCTGTCAATGCTGCATTTGATATTCTTGTTCACCTATGTTTTTCATCTCCTAGATCTTCTCTGTACTCTCTGCCCACACTGCATTCTGCACAAAAGCTCTTCTACCTATCAATCAAGCACTTCCCAAAGCTCAGAAACTGCTCCCTGCTCTTGTCTGTCTTTATCGAGGTTTATGGCTTCCAGATAAAGCATTGCCTAACATCTAAAGTCTTTTAAGTCTACAAATGTAGTTATATTCTTGAGTTTGGTCTCTCGTCTTACTGCTGTTCACTAGGCATCTTCCTAAATACCAAAGTAATACCTAAAGTATAGATAAAAAATTAAATCCCTTTGTCATCATTTATTGTTCACCAATTACATGTGGAGTACTGGACAGCATCCTTTTCCACTCCCTTTAGCAAAATCGTGTTGCCTCCTTACTGTCCGGATAGCCCAGCTCCTCTTCCCAGCCTTCATTGCACAAACTGGATTCTCTTCTTCTGGGCCTTTCCACTTCAAGGGAAAATGAGGTTTACAAGAAGTATCTTTTATTCTGCGGTAGCTGGGAGGACTAAGTGTGTGTAAAATTTTTAGTACAGGGCTGGTGAATTAGCTCAGCAGACTAAGCACCTGCTTTGGCAAGTACATGGACCAGAGTTTGATCCCCAGTCCTGCATGCCCCGCTGGTTCTGCCTCGGGGTGTGCTGAGCCTGCAACCGGAGTCTGGGCATGGTGGTACACACATGTAATCCCAGCACTGGGGAGGCTGAGGATCACTACAAGTTTGAGCATTGTAGTGACACTCTGTACTAAATACATAAAATGGAAAAAAAAATTCGTACATGCCAATAGGATAATGGCTCAATACTGTTTGTTACTTTTAAATTATGATTATAATAATTTTCATTTGGCTCAGTTTCATCTTTGAGTGACTGAACCTTGGGGCCTGGGAGTTCAGAGTTTGGGATAATGAAAAGAAGCCTGAGATTCCACACCGCCCAAAAGTGTGAACATAAGGAGCAGGGGAGGTGATCTGAAAGAGTGACTCAGTCCAATTCCTGGTGCATTTCTGGGAGTGACAGAGGTGCAAATTTGTGCTTTTGTGTATCTGCAGCTGAGCTGGCTTTTATACCACTGCTAACTGCTGGGAGTTTCCCATCTGGGGGTATCTTTCTGAACAGTACTCAGGTCACATGGCAATTAGCAAATGCTTTGCAATAATAAGCAATAATAAGAGATTTTACATAATTTTTCTCATTAATCTAACATCAAAGGGAATTTTCAAATGCTAGAGAACTATGGTTTTTTGTGAGATGATGTTGCCCAGCTGTGAGAGGCAGCAGAAATTTTTGCTTATTACAAACTGCTTAGAAATGATCTAAGTGGCACCTGCTTATCTCCTACACACTTCAAGACAATATTCTATTTGCTGGGTTATTCTACTGATGGCACATAGAAACGCTAGTATACACAGATCTGAAGGCTAAAGAAGGAGCAGACAGCACCCAGCTGCTGGTTTGGGACTCCACTTTCTAAAAGACATCAAAAGACGCATTTTACTTTCAGCAAGCTCTTAATAGCATTTTGAGCTAGATAATCACTAGCTCTAAATTTTCTGAATTTTCCCTATATTTTCTGAATTTTCTCATTGAGTTACATCAGATGTGAATAAAAACTTTTAAGTTAGTACAGCAGCATATTCACAAAACAGCAATAACCAGATCTTCACAATTCATGCAGGTAGCATAATACATCTGCACCTTGGTAGTTAAGTACAGTGTTTAACTACAGTAAACACACATGCTTAAAAAAGACAACCATAAGGCATAGGCACCTAGTTCATGGTATTAATTCAAAAAACAAAGACACAAAAAATTGTCACACTGCCTAGTAATTTATAGAAAGACACTTACAGTCTTCAAGAAGTTTTGCTTTTTCCCCATCAATATCAGCAGGTAAGTGGGCAAACAGGATTTAAAAAAATCAGATGTTAGTAATGAGAACGTTAGAATCCTAAAGATAAAGGGGGCATCTTTTCTATTTGATTTGACCTGAATACCTACATAGTAGAGGGTAAAATTATGAAGTTCAAGAGAAGAAACTTGCATTCATGGTTTGTTCGCTCATGCAGCAGCTTCTCACACACATACTTAGAAGAACAAAAGTAATGATGTAGGAAAAGAGTCTCCCAGGAATAAAAATGGCTAATTCCATCCCATACATACTGTGCAGGATAAGTAATTATCTCCAATTTGAAAAATAACTGAAATCTACAATTAATTTGAGTTGTCACATACTGTGTCATGTCTGATCCTATTACCCCAGACATCTCGATGCACACGGTAACAACATCCAACAGTGGGGTAATGCAGCAATGACAACGTTCCATCCATGCCAAGTGCAGCACTGATTTCAGGGTACCGTATTTCTACAGTTACTATTGACATCAATAATTGAACTTTTTAGACTGTTAGTATATTTCAACTTTTAAATTCTTCAGTCTCAGGGCTTGCTAGGTCCCACACCAAGGAGCAGCTCATGTACTAAAGGAAGGGTATGTAAAGTAGGGACAGGGAAGAAATTACATTTATATGCGATTCCAATCATTCTGCAGCACAGCCTATCATTACTACTCACAAAGGTTAATGTGGGGGTGCCTGGGTTATCCGTGACTTTCATCATGGTTATGCCTCATCTCCATTAGCAGTGATAATTGAGTTAGCCGTAGGTGCCTGTTTCTCTCTGATTGTTAGATTGAGCAGTTGAATTAAAGGAGAGCGTATTTAACATGGGATAGAACAAAAGCATTTCTCTCAAGTGCTTTTCCTGCTTTCCTGTGTATCTATTAGGGCAAATGCTTTCTTAGGCATCTGCACTCCAATGGGCTTAAGCAATTATGTAAGTATTTTAAAATTGAAATTAAGGTAATTGGATGAATATTTTTCAAAATAAAAAGTATTGCATTTTATTGTACTTTAAAGGAGTATGATAAACGAGTGAATAAAGTGTGGGGCAAACTACATTTCTTTTTAATGTCTTTCCACTGGCAGTTGCTGCTTTTATGGAAAAAATGGACATCCCAACAATTGAACAGCCCCAGGAAAGTGTAATCTTCCTTGTACCTTGGAAAGCTTGCCAAACAGATGTTCTATTCAGGAAGTTAATGGATTTAAAGAGGTCATGCAGATTAAGGATAAAGGATAAATCAATTCTGAAGTACAGTAATTGTCCAGATTTGAAATGCTGCTTTCCATTGCAGAAGGGACCCATTTGAGCCTAGTATTATCTTTATTTTTCACAGACAGGCTTTCCAGAACATGGAAAATACAGCAAATATATTACTACTGGGAAAAGAGTGGACTAACTATTGTTTTTCATTTTACTGTTTTTGTAGATTAGTTGCCTTAGTCTCAAAAATGTCCATCTTGTTCTCTGATTATGTTCTTTAAACCAGTAAAAGAGTATTCATCAGGCTTGTAGATAACATACATTCCCAAGTTACTGACTCATATTTAGGATTCAAGATTAGAAAGTAAAACAAATGTATCTTGTCTTGTTTAAATTAAGAGAGATGAAGGATGGGTGCTTAGGGGCTTTGTGGGGCAGAGGGTTGAAGAGACCATGCTCCAATCTCTCGAGGGCACTCTCAACACATGAGAGGAAGTGATGTGCTGAGGGCAGTGGGGACGTTTCCATGATTGCTCTAACGTGGCGCACATGGCATTTTTGCTGCACTACTTGGACAAAGAGCTGCCTGTTGGGAAGATCATGGCAGCTGCGTCAGTCCCTCCTTCTCAGGCCATTCCTGCAGGGCACACAAAAGGCACCTGAGGGGGAAGAAGGAAAATGAAAGAGAGGGAACAGAGCGGCTGACCATTTCCGTGGTCATTTCTACAGTGAGAGTCTTTATAAACATCAGGTGCTGAAGGTAAAAGCCAAATAATTGGGATTAGCTTTTCAGTGTCAGACAGACACCTTTTCCATCCACACTGTTCACAGCCATGGTAAATGCTGGGAGGTTTTTGACTCCTGAGCCTAACAGCTTTAAATCGTTAATACTTACGATCAAGAGGTACTTCCAGCGCACTAATCATCTGGCACAGGAAGAGAATCAGGGGCACTCTGCCTGCAGATAAGCACTTCTTTTTCGGCATTATTTTAAGCTGCATTAGCTTCACTCCTGCTGAGATCCAAAAGCTGAATTTTCTTTTCTTCTTTCACAAAGATTTGTGTGCAATATTTAAATGATTTTTCATGCAGGAAACTGAAAAAGACAGAATAAGAGTAATAATTATAATGTATTAAAAAGAAGGAAATGAAGAACGGAAGTCTGCTGAACAGAAAATCGGCACTGTATTATACATGAACTCTAAAAGGGAGCTCACTTTTAAATATTTAACTCTTGAGACTGGAATAATCATTTATTCATAAACCAGGTAAAATCAGTTCAAAAATATTTGGGGTGATGTCTGTTCACTTTCCTGTCCTTATGGTTTTTTCATCCTAAATATTTGCATCAGGGCTCAGAGGGCTCAGAGGCTAGTGTATCTTTCTTCATAGATCTGGAACTTGGCTTTTAGTATAGTTGGAAAGTGATCACTTTGTGACTTTAAAGTGGAGGCCTAATGGGTTCTCCATTCTGTAGATCATCTCTGGGAAACCTGGGGCATTGTTGCAAATGTCCTACGAAACTGACCTACTGGTGAACACAGAGGATCAGGGACATCCCAGCTCTTCTCCCTGGCTGGGCGCTGCTATCCAGATCTTCCTCACCAGTCACTCTCGATAAAAGTGCCAATTATTTGTTTCATAAAGGATTTTAGAAAACCCATTTCTTGTTTAGAAAAAAAATGCAGCTCACTACCGATATTAATTTACTTTTCAGCATTTCAGAGTTACTGCATTTTGTATATGCAAATACTACTATTGCCAAAAATATTTGCTATAAATAGAATGATGTCTTCATTTTCCAAAGACTATTAATATAGTAGAGTGATGGGAAAATAATAGTAAAAGTAAGATATTTTGTGACAACCTTTAGGGGTAAAGTTAGGACTATTCTGTGAGCTATCTCAGGGTAAACACTGCAGGTGCCAGTGAGTATTCTTGGGGCAAACCAGAATTGGGAGTGGCCATACTCAATCTCTCAACTGAAGTCTGCTGTATCCTTAAAGAGGTATTAACGTACTTCAGTGATCTCACTTCAACTTCTCTTGCCAACCTTATTTCCATACAACCTGTTTTGTTGGACGGTTTACTTTTTTCCTTTAAACCATTCAAAGTACATTGAATTGTCCCATCTTCTTATCTTTACCTGCAGTAATTCATCCACCATATTTCCCTATCTTACCTATTTCTCATAATTCAGTTAAAGGTCAGTTCCAAGAAACACTAGTAGAACACCCAGAGTAGAAGTCATTTCACCACTGCCCCTGAATTTCTAAACTTTCTTGTTTTAAACATCATGTATATTATATAGATAAAAAAATGGGCTCTGGGAGTATGTATGTATACTAATGTGTGCACTTTCCATACTTGTTCAGGAAAGGATTGTGTCTTCCTCATCTCATGGTCCCTCTCCCTCACCTAACAATGTCTTTGAATCTGGGAGTGTTACATTAGAGAGCCTGAGCCTGAACATGGAGTACAGATGTCTGCCCCACAGCAAATCTCCACTTGCAAAGATAGGTCAAATCACGTCTTCTCATTAAGAGAAGCTGGGGTGACTAATGGTTCTCCTGAGCAGGTGAGAGGGATAATATTATTACAAACTGGGGTGGCTCCCACAAGCTTATTTAATGAGTTACTTATATAATTGTATTATTTGAGTAGTTGTGTAATTTCATAATGTTCACATTCTTCACCAAACCAGAATCTGCTTAGGGTTAAAAGACTAATCTGTCCTGTTCCCTACTGCACTCCAATAGCATGTCATAGTGTTTTATGTATGTATAAAGTTGACAAATATTTGCATGGGGAAAAATGAACAATGAGAAAAGAACAAGAGCCTTAAGATGTCTGAAGTTGTCATTGTATGCAGATAGTTTGATCAAGGTCTCCTCAAGTATATATTTATATTTATACTGTTTGAAAATTCTAACCTACTATCTAGTCAATATAGGCAATAGATTATACTATTGTGTCTATGTATACAGTTAAATTTAATTATACAAAAAGAGATAAGGTAGATAACATTTTGCTAGCAATATCTGCTATTGCTAGCTGAGTTTTGATTTTCACCTGGTTAAAACTATAGCAAGACTTTTAAAATAAAGAATACAAAGGAAAAATAAGATAAGCATAGACCTTATAATTACATAAATATTTTAAAATGAAAACCCACACTATATGATGTCATCTAAGAGCTGGGAGATTTTTCTGTATCCTGCTAGATAAACACTCATGTCCAGTAAGCACTAAGAGGCAGGTATAGCTGGGGAGATAGCTCAGTAGAATAAGTGCTTCCTGGACAAGTGCAAGGACCTGAGTTCAGTCCCTGGTTCTGAAAAATAAAAGAGGCAGGTACAGAGTTCATCCAGCCATTCTGACCATGACACAAACCAGACTGCTTTTCTGTGTGTGCAAGGCACAACTCTATCCATCAACTTTATCCATTCATGTGGATCTCATGATTTTCCTGTTGAAATTCTAAATATAAATTCACATATAAACTTCAGGAAAATAAAAAAGGAATGGCACAAGCAGATCGTATGCATTACATAAATCAAGAGAAAATAGCAGAGTTTCTCTCTGAGACATGAACAACACATCTGCATGACTGCCATATGTTGAGTTAAAGTACCTTGCTCTCTGGGCAACTGCTGGGAACACAAATACTTCCCCAAATTTGTACTCATGCACAGTAATTCCTGTGATGTCTTAAACAGCTGTATGCAATTTCTAGGTTGTTTGTTATTTACTTCACCTGTATGCTTTATGGAATTCATCCATCAAAAGATCATAAAATAACTTTATTTTTTTTTAAAAAAAAAAAAACCCTTGAGGCACAGCCTGGGTCCAGTAAACACATCCCTTACTTTTCTGCTGTTAAGTTTGTACTTTAACATTACAGTAGCCAGCTGTGTGTCTCAGTGCCTTTCCCTGAGGGATATGGGCAGCAATCTATGTGTTTACCCACTTGGTACAATGAACGGCAAGGAGTGTGCATGTGTGCAAAAGTGCCAAAGTGGGATTTGAACCCACTTTTATGATCTGTCTGGCTTTGTATATGTTTACCTGAGTGCTACATGGGGTCCAATAGACCCACACTACTCCAGGATTTGTTAAAAAGTTTTCTTTTGATTTTTCTGGTATAAGTAGCCTGATTCAGTACAATGGCACATGGAAAACCAGATATGCAAGTTTTGGAAGAGGTCAAAAGTGAATCATTAGATTATGGGTGGATGACACAGATAATCCATTATGGTAAAATTCATGCTTTCATAACAGAAGAATGGTGGAGGTGGATGATGATGACTTTGACATTGGCCATGTGAGACAAAATTCCTGTGATGTGACATAGAACAAGAATCTACTGATACACACACAGGGAAAGAGGACCTGATTGATTCAGATGACAAAGAAAACAGCAATGTGAATACATATTTGATTGTACCAATGTTACGAAATGGCCATGCAACCAAATAGAACAATCCAATGTTAGAACTAGGTCTGAAAATATAGTGAAGGTCTTGGCAAGTATAAAATATCTGGATAGAATACCAGTACTGCCTGCTATTCAGAATTTTAAGAGACAAAATGCTACAAGATGTTGTGAAATATACAAAGGCTGAAAGGCAAGTAAAATGTTCTGTATGCACCACTAGCCATATTCAAAATGTATTTGTTATATCTCATTAGCTGAACTGAAAGTATTTATACTGCTATACTTAGCACAGATTTCTCACGGTGATCTTAGGAATGTAAAAGACTTATGGAAAAGTGATGGGTCAAAATATGGCATAAAATGTATGCCCTTTTAGATGTGAAGGCTTATTATTTTTTCAGTTTAGACTTTTACTTTAGAACTCAGCTATCAGGTCCTTATTTGTCTAGTATAAAACTATCACAAAATCAGATATGAACAGACTTGTTGCTTGCATCTCCCAAACTAATCAGAATGTGACATTTGGCAATTGGCGAACTGTTTCCAGTCGATGTTACGTTTGCTAACTCAGCAAAAACTGACCAGTGCAGGAACTCTACACAAGAACAAAGCAGAAATTCCAATTAAAATCTTGCAATTTCAAAGCAGAAAACTGTATAGTAAGATCTTTGAATTTCAGAAAGATTTAACATTGGCCATTATAAATGGCAAAGAAAAAAGCGAACTAGTACTCCTGAGTGAACATTTCACTATGATGGAAGTACTGATAGGAAAACCTCCACAAAATGGAAGACTGAGGAACAACTGGGATGAGGGAAAGGAGAAAACAAAGAAAGAAGGAAAAAAGAAATATAAATGTATTTACACAGGATAGGATGGTAATTGTACTGCTAATTTCCTTCTTTTTTAAAAAATGTATTTAGTATAGGGACTATAAGGTCTCACTCTACAGATTGGACTCCTAGTGAGCCTTCCTGTTTTTCAGTCTCTCAAGAGCTGGGATTACAGGCACGCACTGTCTCAGTGTGCCCAGGAGGTGGGGTCAGCGTGGCAGGCCAGGGATCAAACAGCCAGCTCCTGCGTCTGCTTAAGCAGGCACTTTAATCTGCTGAGCTATCTGGCCGGCCTGTACTGCTGATTTTTGCTAGTCTATTGAAAGGAGCTATTAATGCATAATTTTTTGTCTTTCCTTTTTAACTAAAAAAATTAAATTTGATCAATTTTGCATGCTTGTATCTGGTACTCTGAGCAACTAATTTGAAGACAACAATATGCAGTACAACAACATGCAGTACAACAACAACATGCAGTACAACAACTGAAGACAGCAATATACAATGAAACAATATGCAATACAATTACAAGTTGGATTCTTACAATTTTGTTTAGTGAGATTCTGTATCGTTTCTTTCTTTTTTTTTTTTTTTTTACTATTTCTATTATTCTCTTAAAAAAGAAACCTGAGATGCAAACTTTCAACAACAGCAAAGGTGGAGAAGATGTTGTTGATTAGTTATGCAGCAAGTATAATGTCACTTGAAACACCAAGCATTGGCCAATGATCATGTTTACTGAATCCTAAAGATGTGTGGCATAAATAGTTTGACAGTTTTCAAAGAAAATAACAAGTGCAAAATATGGAGAAATGTTCTTAGAGGATTGGGATTGGAGCTCATCAGAGATCATTTACATCAGAGGAAAACAGAGTGTTTTTTTTCCAAAGAACTACACACAAAAAATTGTGGTGTACACTGGTGAGCTGACAGGTGAACAGGCAAGTGCAGCATCACAAAGACCTACTATGACAACAGGAAAGCCAACAAGATGTCAACTGTGCTCTAAAAGCAAATGCAGGAAAACAAAACATGTGGCATTAGTATGAGCAATACTTGCACATGGAACATACAGTTGTTGTGTGAACACTGCCTTAGGTGTGACAGTTGAAACAAAGCTTATTTTTGTGGTAGAGTTCTATTGGTACTTCATTGTAGTTTATATAGGAATTTATTTAGGTACTGTAAGGAAGTACAGAGCTGAGGTAAAAATGTTGATGTCTACTCTAAGTGGATAAAGCATATTAAGAATTTAATAATTTCATTGATATTTTATGTTCTTGCTAACTACACACTGTATAATATAACAAGATCCTCCTAAGAAAACAAGACCACCGAGATGTCAAGTATGTCTTACAAAAAGGCCAGGAAAGCAAAAGACACATGCTGTCAGCATAAGAAACGTATGTGTATGGAATGTACTGTTGTCATGTTTGAAAACTGAATTAGATGGTATAATTGGAGTAAAGATTACTTGTTTTGTATAGTGATATTGGGATTGTTGCTGTAGTTCATATGGTAATTTATTTCTGATAAATTACCAATTTACCAATTGATAAAATTTTCAATGTTGAAAATTTTAAAGCTTTTTTATATCCACTCAATAAATACTAAAAACTCATGCTTTATTTCCTGATTTTTCTGCTAAGTACTCATTGTTTAAAATAATAAAATTAATATCATAATTAATAATCAGTAGAAATATTCTAAAGAATAAAGATGGATCTGACAAACCCAAGTTTATGACCCTGATGACAAAATTAGTTGTATGATCCAAGCTAATCAACCGTCATAATTTTTCAGAGTATATATGGAATAAACTATTATGCATGAAATCACAGTGTTTTATTAATTTTTTAAGTAAACCAATAGAGCACTTACTGAAAGAGACATGAGCAAATACATCTTCACACTATTAGGGGGTCGTGAACTATGACAACTGAGGCTCTGGTCTTTCCTCAGAAGTTTTAAGTTTACTGCACTATTAGCCAAGAATCATCTTTCTTGTTAGTTCTGCCAGGGGAGGACAGAGCCCATAATTCTGCTGAATCTGCTCATTGAAAGTCATCCATTCCTCCTAGGTATGCCCTCATGGTGAAAATCCAAATGCTTAAAGAGAGCATTACGTCCCCAGCACTCAATCACAGTGAAAATCAAATACAGCTACAGAAAATTGAGCTTTCTTTCTATAAGAGTAATGTGCTCTGAATGCTTCACAAAGAAGACCACTGCTTTGTACTCCTAGTATTGATGTCAACCTCCTACAACCACCCAACCCCAGCCTGTCTGCCTTGTACTTCATCTTGGAAGACGATGACCATTTCCTTTAGAAACATGAACTAAAATTCATTTGTTTATGTGATGTGATTATATTGAAGTGAGTAAGTCTAAATATGAAATAGCACATCATTTTTGGTGGAGACTAAGGAGTATGTTAGTCTGAAATTTTAAAAATAAATTTGTTAATGACTTTTTTTTTATTTTAGGGAAGGGCCTACAGGGTGTTCAGGGTCTCACTACCAGATGGGACTCATAGTGATCTGCATGTTTACAGCCTTCCAAGAGCTGAGATTACAGGAATGTACCACCACACCCAGTCTCAATTGCCCTTTCAATGTGTCCTGGGGGCAGGGCCAGCAAGGCAGAACCAAGGAATGAACCCCCAGCCCCTGCACCTACTTGCAGGAGCTTTAATCTGCTGGCTGGTCCTTGTTAATGATATTTTAATGAGACAAACTGTATATTCATCTTCTCATAATAAATTACTATTTCATTTTATTTTAGTTTTTGCAGTACTAGAGATTGAATCCAGGAAGCACGGTAGGCAAGTACTGTACCACTGAGCCACGAGTACTCTTAGCCCTTGCCTATTTATTTATTTATTCACTTATTCATTTTTGTATTTTAGGGAAGGTTCTACAGG